GCGCCGGCATGATGGCGACGATGGGGGGTACGGCATCGGCATCGCCCAGCCCGCCGGCAGGGGGTATGCCAAGGTTGAGTACGGCATCCAGAGGATCTGGCGCACGTGGGGGAGGGATGTTGCAACGCGGCAACAGCGGAGGAATGTCAGTCGCCGCCGCCGCGGCGGCGGCGGCGGCGACGGCGCCTGGCGGCGCCGCCGGAGCTCGAAGCAGCACTACCAACCCCATGCCGACTGGGCGGGGATCTGCCGGGGTGGGTGGAGGGGCATCAGCAAAGGTTGGTGCTGGCGGCAGCAGCGCGCCTGCTACCACATCGCCCATGTACGACGATGTGTACGGCGGCGGGGGAATGGGCGTGGACGTCAATGCGCTGCTGGACGGCGGTAGCAGTGACGACGACCAACTCAATCCGGCGGCGTTGCTGGATTCGCCTCGAAGCTCGAGGCGGCTATCCTCCCGGGGTGAGGTGTGCGTGGGTGTGTTTTTATGAAATGATAGCCGTGGGTGTCGTTTTATGAACTGGGGCGTGTGTGTCCCCCCGTGTGTGTGTGTGTGTATTAAGGGATAAGGGATGGTGACCCCCCCCCTTTCTGGTGTATCAGTCCATGTCCTCCTTGGCATCAGCTTTACTCGTTCACGTGGTTCGTGGTCGTGTGTGTCCCCCCCCTCTTCACTGGCTTGGAGGGGCGGACTCTGTCCCCTGAGCCGCCCTGCTCCACCTCCCCCATTAACCCGCACATCCCCGCACCTCCCCCCCTCCTCCCTCTCCTCCCCCTTCTTCGCTCACCGGACTTTGGACGCCTTCCGGCAGTTGATTCACCTCTGGTTTCCTTGGAGCACATGACCCTTCCTTCCCCCCCTGCTGCTGCTGCTGCAGCGATGTATTATTCGCTCGGGAGTGTAGTCCGCCCTCCGTTCCGCTCCTCCCTCCTGCAGCCCCTTCGGTCAAACCCAGTCACGCCAAGTTAAAGCCCCCTAGGTTCTTAAACCGTTGCTCTGTGCGTGTGCGTGT